TCCAGAGATATTTGGAGAGGTTAAGTACTGATAACAAGGAGTCTCCAAGTCAGTGCCCGGATGCGCTGTTTTTACCACTCTGTAAGCATGTTTCTAAAATTCTGCAAAAATGGCATGCTGTAGGTTATAGCTAGCTTAAGGTAAAAGATTTGGCTGATTGTTTTTAATAAAAGTTCATTCTAGGCTTTGTCAAGATCAAAAATCAGAGCTAAAGTGGTAAGACCTTTGTGAAAGGAATCAGAATTTTGAAACCAATCGTAGGATCTTATAGCACTAGGAAGAAGTCTGCACTCTGCAAACTTGAAATGTATATAAATGGCAACTTGAACAAAAGAGAATGTAAATGGGTATATTGATGATCACTGAATGGTGCAGTTTTATTCTGTGAGTGCTGGTATGTGATAGAGACTGCTAAATCCTTGTGGCAACTGATCATAGTAACTCTAATTTTCTCTTTAATCTGTTGATGAAAGGTAGGAGATGCTTCTTAAATGAAGACAGCCAAGGTGCAGAACTGAGCAATTATTCCATGCTTGGTTTGAAGCAAAGGTAAATGTACTGCAGCACTGAATTCATTAAAGGCATCCTGAGCAATAACAGCGAAGGCATATAAAAGTGACTGCAGATTTGTTCCTCTTGTTTGGTTGCAGAGAGTGATTGGGCCCTTGAACAGAATGCCAGCATCTGAAAGGTGTCAGGTGCTGAATAATTAACAGCTCTGTTTAGCTTAGTGATTATTGGGCAGCTTTAGGGCAGTGCTCTGTTAGTAGTTTATTATGGGTGATTTTTTTAATAGTTGAGGTTGCACAAAGTCTGGCCATTCAAGATGAAAAATGTGGAACAACATATGCCACCGTGCTCAGGAGGCAAACTAATTAATTCCTAGCAGGCTTGTTGCAGTGTGTGATCCAGTGAGCTGCTTTCTGACCTTTGTCAAACAGAGCCTGGTCGTTGCTTTCTTACAGGGAATTTCAAGCACAGAAAGTAGGATGGAAGTGGGGAAAAGAGAAGGCAGGCTGGAGAAAAGGTAATAAGAGTATGGACCAGCATGCAAATGCTTGCCTTCTGAAGATGATTTGCAGTGTGAGCTGATGTGATTTTGGAGAAAGCTGGTACATGTAGCTGCATGCTGTATCAACTAGAAAATGGTGGGAATTAGCTGAGTGAGAAAGCAGGGAGGGCAGATGGCTTGTCCGCTGCACAGACACTGTTCTGCGGATGTGCTTATGTGTGGGTGGTGTTTTGGAGGGGGTGTGGGAAATTGGCAACGCTGCAACTGGTTGCTGAGTGTTGGACAGATTCCTCATTGTTTGGCCTTTGAGTGGTGCTGAACTGAGAAAGCAGTAGGTAAGATTTTGCTCTTCTATTATGGCAATTGCCTGGGTGTAAAGTCAGTTTTGATCACAATAACGTAGTTGTTTTTAGGAAGCATTGCTATACAAGTTTGGACTTGAGAAATATATGTGGTACGTGGTGTGAATGCCATGCTATTTTATCATCTCTGTCCCCTTGGGTTTTAGGAAAAGCAATTTCAGACGGCAGTTTTGCCATTCTGACAGGACTGTTAAGGATAAGCTGGAAATACAGGTTGCTTTTTAAGAGGAAAACTTAAAAAGCTGTGATTGTTTTGATTTAAATAATATTCAGTTTGCTACTAAATGACACTCGATCTTCCTTTCACACTGAGAACTACGGGGGAAGTAACAGTATCTTTAAAGTTATTAATACAAACCATAAAGCAATTCTGAACTGTTGGAAAAACAAATGAGTTGATAGCATATTGTCATCTCCAAATTTGAGTAGTTAACTGATGCTGTACAACTGATGTTGTACTAAAGTATCTAAAGGCATGTGAACATGTTTTATGATCTGTACTATTTCTAGTTTTTGCTTAGAAATGAAAATAGCAGTTCAATAATGCTGGAAATTCCTGCTTCTTCCTGCTGCTGCTCTTGGCTTTTCCCTCTCCACTCTTCATTTCCCATGCTGTGAAGCTTCTAGCATGTATCTTGTGGATACCAGCAGTTCTAATTAAACAGTGCTGAAGACTATGGGTCAAACTAGTTCTAATTTAAGCTGTTGTTTAAATTACTGAGCGAAGTTGTCTGAATTATCTATAAAGTTTGAAATATTTCTAATCTAGTAGGACATGAAATGCATTATGTATCACAACTGCTCATCTAATCCTGCTGCCAAATTGCTCATTTGGGCAAATAACCAGAATTTTAGGTGTTTAGGCAATTGAGGACAAGGCATTTGCTCAATAAAACAGGAGATTTGTTGTTGTTGTTGTTGAAGCTTTCTCATTTGACAATAGCAACAGCGCTGTAGCTTTGTAATCAGTTGGTGTTCAGTTTAATAGTGTTCAGTTAAGTCTTTAGTAAAATACCTTGAGTAAAGATTTCATATCCATTCAAACATAGATCTAAAGGTAGAATTATGCTGACTGGCTGTGTCTAGTTCAGTAGAAATTCTACTTCAGCTGTCTCTGAGGCTGCAAGCTGCACTTCCACCGTGCTGAAGGTGGTAGAAGTTCAGTTTGGAACACCTTGTTTTCTGTGGGTGCCAACTCAACACTGCAGGTTGTGGGCTTTTTTTTTGTTTTTTTTTTTTTTCTTCATCACTACTAGTAATGATTTGAAGCTTCAAATGCCTCTTCGGAGAATCAGTGTGCTTTGGGAAGCTTGCCTCTTGAACTATAGTAGTTAACAGATCCTTCACTGTGAAGGCTTATTTCCAATGAAGTACTTGCTAAAATTTTCCGACATCTAGAAACATCAGTATTCTTTTAAGGTGAAAAGTAGCTTTGTTTGTATTAAGAAATATTAACACTTTTTTCTCTTTTTTGCAGTAGCATGTTCTTAGTCCATGCAGTAGCTGTTCTACCCATTGGCAGCACATTGCATTAAACTGCTTCCTGTTGTTGAAAGTGTCTGTGAATCTATTTGAAGGACGGCATTGGCTAGAAGTGTTCTATTACATGTCAGAACACTGCTGGGAACATTGATAATGGATCGAAACAAATCTCCTGGTTTGTGGGAGTGGGATAGGAATTCATCCTTGTTTTAAAAAGAAATATATCTCTTTAGGACATAGCATGGCATAGCTTGTGTTTCAGTATTTGTTGTGCTGTGAGTTTATGATATATACGATCAGTTTACCTTCCAGTTTTCTCCTTAAAGCAAGAGAGACAAGAAGGTTTCCTTATTAGTTCCCTTCATACTTAAGGGGCAGATTTAACACTGGTGAATGTTAACCTAAGACTGAAGAAGCATGAGGTGAGATTCAGGAACAAATGGTAACTGTAACTGGACTGACTGTGGTACAAAGAAATGAAATGCAGGGTGGGTTCTCTGCTCTTCTGTCAACATGTGATGTGGCTTGGCTGCTGCTGGAACTGATGACTGTGGGGCTGATGAGGTGAAAGAAGGCAAGGAATGTATGAAACGTGCACCTTTTGTGGATAAAGGTGAGGGTTGGAATGGGGTCAGAGAGGGGTAGAAAAGAACATAAGGCTGGGTGCTGCTGTGGGACACCTCAGGGGAAGGCAGGAGGAGGAGGCTTAGGTGAGCCTTGTTCCGTGTGAGTGGGACCGCAGCAAGGATCTGCTCCTGGAGGTGAGTGGTACCTGAGCAAACAGGGCCAGCAGCAAGCTGGCAGCTGCCAAGGAAGGCTTATTAAGCTTTCACACGAGGAGAGGTAATGTCACAATTGCTGCTCTGCTTCCCCTCTCTCCACTCCTGGGCCGCAGCAGCCTGCACAGCAGGAGGGTTGGCTTTGCAGGCAGCGTGTGTGGTGGGGGACACTGAACTGTGGGAAAATATTTTTCTATATTTAAGTTGTTTGGGCTGTGTGATCTCAAAAGAGATGGTGAAAACTGTTTCAATGTTCCTGGGGAATTAGAGGCTTTTCCGGAAATGAAGGATGTTCAGGCAGGCTTTAGAAACCCATTGCTGATAAATCATGTGGTTTTTTTTCTGCTGAATGAATTGCTTCTTGGCATGTAATATTATGGTTAAATAGCTCTCAAATTCTTTATTTCTACTTTTTTATTGAGAATTTTTGAATGTTGATGCAGACTGAGTACTTTGACTGCACAGTCAGATTTTCTCGATTACAGATCCTTCTAAATATAGGTTGTGTTTTTTGTTCCTGTTCTTTCCCCCATCTCGTACCCTTTTCCTGGCCTTAAGCAAACATCTTGTTCTTTTGCTTTACAGGCTCCAGATAAAAGGAAAGCATTAGAAGAGACCAAAGCCTACACAACTCAGTCTCTAGCCAGTGTTGCTTATCAGATCAATGCTCTGGCCAACAATGTACTACAGCTGCTGGACATCCAGGCATCCCAGCTGCGGAGGATGGAGTCCTCCATCAACCATATCTCCCAGGTAATCTTTCTTAATAGAGGTGTTATTTTCCCTCTTGTATTATTGAGAGATGGGTAGTTTATGTTGACTTATTTGAATTCTGTGATTAATGTGATTGAAAATGGTAAGACTTTCTTCTTCTAATATTTATGAAAGCTGCTTTCTAATGATGATTGTGATAGAAATAAAACAGATTCCTTACCAAGAAGTACTGGGACTATATTTGATTTAAAGCAGGAGTTAATTAAGCTCCCAGAATCAGAAGCTGCAGTTCAGAGTGTTAGAGAGGATTTTGTTTTCAAAGAAATCCAAATGTTTCATAACTGGAACTCAAAGGATCCAACTCAAAATGTTCTTTAGTGAATTTAAGACCTTTGTCGGTCAGCCAATACTGTGTTAGTAGTACGTGTTAGACCAAATTTCTTAAATTTGAAGAGAAGTGCTCCTCGTGGACTTTGCTGTCTCCCTGTAGAGCCCTGATGACCTCTGTTTATTGCTCTTACACGGTAATCATGGTTTCCAAAAACTTTAAATGGCAGCTCAGCAGTTCCCTGAAAGCTGTCAGCCGGGGGGAGATTCCAGTGCGTTCTTTTTTCTGGTAATAAACCTTTCTGAAACACTTGTTGACTCAGTCTGTTAAGACCTATGCAAAGTTAAAAGCTCTACTAAATATTTAGCAAGTAGTTGTAACTGAAACAGTTTAGGAGGAAGTACAATTGGTATAAATGAATTTCTTGCTCTGTCAATTATTGGGAGGTTTTGTGGTGCTAGGTTTAAGGCTACATATGAAGATGTGACTGCATAAAGGACTGAATCAACAAGCCTCACAAGCACTGCATGTTCTGTTACATTGAGCACATCTTTTCCTGTGTGTTTTAGAGCTGCAGTGAATGAAGCAATTATTGTTCAACTTTCATTGGTTCACTGATATGACTAATAGTGAAAAAGCCAAAATGTTCGATACTAGCACAAAAGCTGTTAACCCTCTGTACTATTTGTTGCTTGAACTGAAGGCACTGTGCTGAAAGCTGTTGAGTCACCTGATACATGAACTGTTTGCTGAAGACTGTGAACAATCAGTGCTTTGTAGAGCTTTGAGGCAGTGTTTAGCAAGGTCACTCATAGTTTCTGCTGCTGGTTGGTCTTTCCTGAAATGAATTCTTGCTTATAAATGAACTTCGGGTACTAATTTGTGGAGCTAAACTAGATATGGATAACGTATGCGTATTGGCTCAGCTGTTTGCTTTCAAGTGTGGTGTTTTTTTTTTTGTTTTTTGTTTTTTGTTTTTTGTTTTTTGTTTTTTTTTTTTTTAAGATAGGCAGTTGAAACATTTGATCAATCTGCTGTGCAGTTGTTTGAATGACTGGTTCTAAATTCTCTGAAGTTTCCAGAGTGTCGTCTTTTCCCCTTGCTTGTATCAATCATGAATATTTCCATGCCTCTGAAGCATGGGAGGATGAATGTATTTTCAAAACAGAATTCTTTTCCATGGAAGAAGTATTGCCTAGAAACACAGATCTGAGGCACTGCCAGTCAGCTACTCAATTCTGGGTCTTGCAATACAGAGCAGATACCTATGGGATAAGGTACAATTTGCCAAAAAATATTTCTGGTAATGAGAACTGTGGAAGAAAATCCTGCGGTTCTTTTTATTTGCAGTCAGTTTGTGTTTCCCTGCCACCTCTGTCGCTCAGTTCTGATGTGCAATTTCAGTTCTCCGTGCATGTTTTCCAGAATGAGTCTAGTCTAAATAACTGGACAAGCTAATTTTGACTAGTAGGCACTTGACATTTCTCATAGCTACATACCTTCTTCAGTGGAAAAAATACTCAGAAAAAGTTAAATGGAGTGGTGTGTTCTGTTCTTGCTACTGAAACTTAATTGTACAGATGGAAAAATGACTTGTTTTCATTGGAAAAAATGAATTCAACTTCATTTTATTTTTTACTGAGAACAAACAAGCTTCACATGAAAAAATCATTCAGGGATGAAGGAATACTGCAGTGAGCAGTTCCAGGAAAGGCTTCTGCTCTGGCTGCTGCGTAGAAGCTAGACCAGCTGCATCTTTATCTTCTGCAGTTATAGTTGTCTTTCCGCTGTAACCTGTGGGTCTGAGGTGGCCCGCACAGAACTACTTACTACGTCCACAATACAGAGCTTTGCACAAACAGCTCAGCTGTTAAATCCTTAGTATTGACTTTCAGCTTTTCCAGACTGTTCAGATATGGCAGAGCAGACACTTGATTACTGCTGTGGAGAAATTGGCAAACCCTTCTGGTATATGAGAGCCTACTCATCCCGTTAGGCAGGATTTTAGGGAAAAGATAGCGAGTCTATATTTTAGACCATCTTGAGCTTCAAGGCTTTACTGAGGGCATTAAGGTGTGTGTGTGTGTGTGTGTATATATATATATATATATATATATATACATATACACGTATATACATATCTATATATATCTATATATCTCTCCAGGCCTCTGTACTACAAGTTTTCTGCTGCAGCCACAGTTACATCACGTATTTCTGTCAGTTCCTGTTTGAGGTTTTAGTTTGGCTGTTCTGAAGATAAAAACATACTCAGAAGATTACAGGAGTTGCTCAGCTGGTTGTGATGTAGGATGTGAAGGCAGATCCATGCTGTGATGTGCCCTCAACATTCCCTGTGGGACAATGGTAAAATGGCAGTGGAGGAAAGACCTGGGGCGCCCTGTCACTTTCCTACCCACAGATGCTAGATTGTAACAGAGCAGGGCTTTGTTTTGGTATAGCTTATTACCTTCAGAAGGAGTTACAAAAAAGCAATTTTCCTTAGTCCGAACAGCGGTAGCTTAGTGTTTGCTTTCTTCTACTGTCTGAAATGTGAGGTATTTGGAATGGGAGCTATTTTCTTTCATAGAGAAGATGAATGAAAGCATAGACTGGACAGTGATGGAGTGAAACAGTGGCTGAGGGTCAGCCTGAAGTGGGAGATGGCAGGAAGGACTTCGGGGATCAAGGTGGGACAAGAATGAAGACCTTAGCATTTGGCATATGCTGTTTCTTAGGTGTTGGGCAATTCAAGTGTTGAATAAACCAATAATTTTTCATGTTGCTGGATGACGAGTTAAACAGGACATCGTGTACTTGTGCTCTGAATGCAGTTTGTGCTTCGTTATGGTTACTTTTTGTGTATTAAACGAGTTTAAGCAGTAGACTAGACAGTTATGTTTGTTTCATTCTTGCACGGATCCCTGAATCCGTGAGTTAATACTTTGATAAATAAATCCTGTTGCATCTTTCTTTTTGCTCTGAAAATTAATGTCTTTTAGCAGAGGAGTTGAAAATTCAGCTCTTCCTAGCTTAAACATTTGACAAGGAAAACCTGCCTATCTAGAAATTTGGGCCTATGTTTTTTGCTCTTTTGACTTGCACTGTTTTGGTGGTTCTCCTTCTTCCTCTCGGAAATGAGAGCTAACTTAGGGAAATGTGCTTTAAGATACATTTTTGCTCGTTCATTTCCATGGACTTGAAGTGAATGAAGATGAGACAGTTGTCAGAGGAGGAAGGTTGACAAGGGACATTCTTGTTTACAGTGCCAAAACTGGAAAATGTAACTGATCAGCACTTGCATTTATGTCTGAGCAGCTGCAGTACTGGATGTAGAAACTGCTCCTTTTTTAAGAGATGATGTTTTGTACCAGGAGGCACTTGCATCCCTTAAAACGTTAAATTCTCTTCTGCATCTGAAGCTGTTCTCTAATGCAAAATGAGAGCTGTTACAGAAAAATGTTCTCAAAGTGTACATTTCAATAGGAAAATATACATGCATCTTTTGTCACTGCTAAAAGTTAGAAGCTTTTGCAACTAAGACAATCACTTAACTAGTTTAGGAGAATCTTGCTGTCACTCCCTCATGTCTAATACAAGCATTGCGTGCAAGCAGAAAGCCAAATGCCCTTTGTACGGTATGGCTCTCTGGCTGAAGGGAGTGGCAATCCTTCCGTACACAGCTATTACCTTTTCTCACATTTCTGAACTTTACAGATGGAGACATCTGTCCTCATCTGCAAAGTAGCGGGACATTTTCCATTGAGCAGGGAACCAGCGAAGACCAATGTGGATGAGGCTTCAGAGATCTGCCGGAGATCTTCTGAGGTGTGAAGGGGTGAGCTTCTAAGCAGCAGCGAGTTGAGAGCAGGCTGGCTTGTCTTTGATTCCAGGAAAAAAAGAATATGATAGGTCTTAGCTGCTCAGCAGGTCTTCACTGTTTGAAGAGAGTGATACAGTGCTACATGCAATGGGGATTTTTATTTAGTTTATGAGAAGGAGCTTTTCCTGAGTCTGTGTATGCCGCTCTTGGGTTAATGTGGTACCACGTGCAAGGGTTGTGGCATACAGTCACAGCACAGTTCATATTTGAAAGCCACAAAGTAGAAAGAGGGTATAAAATGCAGTGAATCATCTGCTGATGAATGTTGACTGTTGTGCCTGGGAACAAGCAGTTATGTAAATACTCTGGTATTCCTATGGGAGATACTCACCAGATCCTCTTGGTGACAACTGTGGTTCCAAGGAGCAACTTTTACCATGTAACTACCTCTTTAAAAGGAAATGGGTTGCTTAATGTTCTGGTTTTGCTCTCTAACATGACGAGCATATGGGCTGAATAATGATTGGACTGTTATGTGGGAAGAAAATTAGTCAGATCTAGAACGTGGCTGGATGCTGCTAACAAGCAGGGTCAATATTGCATTGTTCAGTATAGTCTCTGGAGACCACTTGGAACATAAATTATGTCCTCAGCAAATCTGGGATAATTCTTAAGTTAGCGAAGTTGGTTTGCATGCTGAATGATGGCACTTCAGTGCAGAGAAACGATGAGAACTGAGTCAGCAAAAATCTCAGGAAAGCCAGTGAGGTGCAGGGTCTGCACCTGAGGATCCATTGGTTTGTACAGGCTGGGAGGGCTGAGTGAGTCCTGGAAAGGAACAGCTGTTCCAAGGGATGCTATGCTGGGAGAGGGAAATGGCAGCATGGG